AAAAGCAATAAAAAACGAAGCCCTACTCTGACGAGATTGTTATCCCTAAAAAGCCGTAAGCCATATACTTGATGTTAAACACTAATATTGTTTTCACATTATCGTAGATTTTAACCAATTTTAATTCCAATTATCGTTATCATCATCATTATCATCCAGATTATATCGTTTATCATCCATGCTATTTTGTCTTGTTTACAAGAATATTATTTCTTTAATGATAATAATCTTTATTTCTCATAAACCTATTTACTGTAATTTGAGTTAATAAACATTTATCATTAAATGATAAATAGATAATAATGTAAATTGTACATAAGATTAAGGAGATTTAATAAAAAATATTGTTATTCTGTTATTATTATTATCATTATTATCATTATTAAATTTATTATTTACTTTTGAAACTATCATTACTGTTCTTATGATTGTGATTGTGGTTATTGTTGTTGTTATTGTTCAAAGAGTGTTCAAGGTCAATCTATACAAAAATCAATAGAATTCAAGATGGCCGCCTTACTAACAATACATTCTACTAACATAACTATCTTTCTCAAGGTGCCACAGGAGTCAGACGCGATTGGTGGATGCACCTTCATGGAGGATATTATCTAAAACATCTAAAGGACGACAATCGTTTCCAAAATAACATAGATTTTGAAACGAATTATTTAAAACACTTTGATGCCCCAAGAAACTTTGGAATATTCTATGGTCAAAGACTWTCTGCATATTTTATWCCYATGGCGAGTGGGACWTATACGTTCATTGCTACGTGTGACTCTGAATGTGAGATTCTTTTAAGTGACGATGAAAATCCAGCTCGCAAGCGAGTAATTATTAATATTGATCAAAATCACAGAACGAAGTACAACGAATGGGACAGGTAAGCTTGGTTAGGCTTCATGCAGCAGTCCTCGCTTTGCGGGCAAAAATAGTAGAAAATCAAGGGCGGATCTAGCTGAAATTTAAGGAGGGAGAATGTCTTGGTCTTCACACTGATTATATATCAACCTATGGGTAGCACATTTTTA